TGTTACTTACATGGCAATTAAAATGATTCTGATTTTTGGGAGGTTGGTTTTCTGTTTGATGCAGTCGCTGTCAGACTAGAACAAGACAGGCTCAAACAACAAATGTCCAAAATTTAAATGTCCAAAAAATACAGGAACAAATAAAGAAGATGCAAGAACAGGGTGAACAAGACAGTCTGGCTCATGAGGCACGGTGCACACGAACTAAACACACTGAAGGCACATCCGGGTGAATCAGGGCGGAGGCTGTAATCAGCGACTAGAAGTAAAAGAAACATGTTAAAGTGATTTTAAAAATAAATACAAAACAGGACAATTAAGGCATGACAGTCCAGTCCTCAACATGTTAGTATTCAAACCCACCCACTCCTCATACTGGTTTCTTTCAGTCGTGGGCCTTGTTTTAATCAAGGAAATATATACGTAAACAGTAGGCCTTCGATAACTATGGCCTGGTATAAATCTATGAGTGAAAAAATAACTAAAAAAATGGACCGGTAATTATGACAGTCAGAAGAAAAATAATATATAAACTACATTCTAACTGTTCTGTCTGTTTCAGCACATGTGAGAATGATTCTGCAACAAACAACCCATACCATATAGAAATGTGCACAACATGTAGTTTATGTTGGTGTTCATTTTTTATTTTAAGTTATTCCATGCAGCATTGACCGAGGCACTTTGGCGACACATTTTTGAGTGCATTACTTTCCACACAATGAACAACATCAAGTGACTTCACGAGACCAAGTTAGTAAGTTAGTAACTCAGCCTCCCCATGTTTAGTCCTGTCTCTGGGCACTTGCAGGAGTCCAGTCCCTGTGCTCCTCAGAGTCAGAGTTGGTTCATATGGCACCAACATTTCTCTGATGTACTTTGGTGCGAGGCCATGTAGAGACTTGTACACAGGCAGAGCTGCTTTAAAGTCTTTTCTCTGAGCCACAGGGAGCCATTGCAGAGACATTACTTCTCTGCCAGTTAACTCTGTATCAGTCGGTACCACATCCAGCTCTCGAGATATTTTAATCTTGCCGGCGTTTTGTGGATTTTCCTTTACTCACCTGCTGCTCCTCGTCTCTTCAGATCTGGTTGTGTCTCGCTCCTGCTTCTCCAGTCATCTCTGGGCCTCCTCTCTGTGCTCCAGCTGAGTCGGCCTGCTCCCTGCCTCATCTGCCACTCCCTGCTCAATCCTAGCATAGTAAATAAACTTGTTGAACACTTGCTGAACCTGCTTTTGCTCTATACATATTTTTCTCCATCTATGTTCAGAGAATATGGAAAAACTTCAACAGCTGTTTCTTTCTTTGTTTTTGTGATCCGTTCCGTCTAAGGATAATCACGCTAAAGCTGTGAAGGAAGTCCTGTTTATCGCTGCATATTGATTTTTTTCAGTGGTTCTACAGATGCGTGACCAATCCTTTCTAAAAGCTGTCTTCTTTCTGCTGCAGAGATCAATAGGAAATACAGAAGCCTCATTAAAAAGCCCCGGTGCTAAGACCTAATTATGAAGACGATTTTTCAAAACAAACAGAAGTGTTAATTTGATGAGGAAAAACTAATGATGTGAAACTGTTGGCAATCATACTTTTGCACCCTCGAAGTAAACAACAGTACAACACCAAAACAGGCATATACAGAATGTTGTTATTTACCGAGTATTCTAATCTTTAAATGAGCGTCAGAGCTGTTTTTATGGCCATTTGTCAAACTCCCGCCTATGGACCAATACCCACTGTATGTGTTCTCTATTCTTTGTGTTTGAATTGTTTGATTCTCTGATCTGTGTTGGCAATTTCAACAGTTTTGTGAAGTCCTCTGAGATTACTACAGTTGTGAGTTAGGGCTATACAAGAATACATTGAATTGAATTGAATTTGATCACGAACCAATTCCAGAAGCTTTGAGCTGTCTCTATAGGGACATCATTTCAGATTTATTCAGCTAAAATCGGGTACAGTCTTCCTGAAAATGTGAAACAGGCTTCTACTATGATAATGTTCGAATCCATTGGCTGTGCAGGCAAGTGAAGGATTGTATTTTCACTTTTTTAATGTACTGTGATTATTTATGATTGTAATGCCTTGTGTGAGGTTTTCTATTTTGTTTTCTTATGCGCTTTGAGTTGCCTTGTGTGTGAACTGTGCAATACAAACTGTGCAATACAAATAAACTTCTCTTGCCTTTTAGAGCCACCAGTATTAGGGACAAGTCTCCACTCTACAATTGCAGCAGGTTGTGTCTCTTGTTGAAGGACATTTAGGGATAATATTGATAGTGTGATGATACATGGATGATCATGTTTACCTGCAAGGACTGTGCAATAACGTCTGAATGTGCAAAATGGGACCACATGTGTCCACTTTCACTTATAGTTACTCTCAGCCCATGGAGCCCCATGCTCCTAACATGTACAGTGGTTTTATCACTTCAATATTATACATTAAATATCAGTGTATTTCAGCTTTATCAACAGTCATCCCAACAACTTTGTCCAGTTCAATCTGAAGAGACCAAGACAGAAACATTAATGCATGAAAAAGATTTATTGTTTGGCGCATTGACCCCGGCAGTGACACTTGCAGAGGGGAGATCGTCTGCTGCTGTAGATGATCTCAGACCCCCCGGGGTCAAGCACTGGTGGTGTCTAGAAGCATGGTGTGAATGGGGCGCAGGCAGAGCAGGAGTAAGAGCAGGAGACAGGCAGGAACCAGGCCGGACCTAGAGCGGGAACCCGAGTTGGAACCAGGAGCTGAGGAGGCGCTGGGAGGTGGTGGGTGTTAAGAGCTTCAGGAAGGGCTGTTTATCGGGGAGTGGCTGAATTTAAACTGCCCGCTTTGCTGTCAGTGGGTTGACAAGGGGCTGGCAGTGCTGTGCGATTGGCAGGCCCTGGACGGGTGAGAGCCGTGGCCGGTCTTTCAGTCAGAATTTGCGCCTCAGCTTGATTTCTGTTTTTATAAATGCTAATGTTTTTTAATTGCACTCCTTTTGGTGTTTTGAGAGTATAGCTATATTAAATCGAATAGATTGTCATTAGAATTGTTATAGACGTATACATAGGAGAAGATAAAATAAGATAAGATAAACTTTATTGATGTCACTATGGAGAAATGTTCATGTCACATTTGACATGAATAGAATCACTCAGATTGTGCAAAAAGACAGAAATGACATGTTAAAGTTAAAAATATAGTCTGTGAAGGATATATTAATAAAAAGTGGCAATAGTAGTTCTGGTTCTTCAGTCCTACGTCATTAGTGACTTAAAGTGGCTTATTGTCTGACAGCGGTGGGGCAGGGACGTGCAGTCAGGGGAGGCAGGGGAGGCAGAGCCTCACCTGCCATTATTGGAAACTAATAATTATTTTAGTTTAAATATATAATTTATATCCACTGTCCTATGCTTTTAATGTATATTCGGCACGGTTCCCATCAGTTTTGATCATTTCTGAAGTCAAAATCGCCGAAATCCCGTTATTCCTATTCAAAGAGACGAGGTGAGGCAGCGCTCCTGCGTGCCTCACCTCAGACCGCTCCCTCACAGTGTGTGTGTGTGTGTCTGAGTGCACTCAGCTCGTGCAGTTGATATATCACCGTTTGTTTCAAATATCCTGCTTTAAAAACATTTTTTAAACTCCTCTTAGTGTTTAGTAGTGTATTGCACGTATGTGTGTACAATTTATATTTAGTTTAAGTCTTTTGATCGTAGATGAACACACAAGGAAAAAGCTTGGCGTGAGGCAGGCGGTATCTGTGCCTCACCGCTAGGGGCGATAGTGAGCATAAAGTTCATACCAGAGTTGCTAACAAACAATCAGCCCAAAATGCTATTTCTTTTGCTGGAAAATGGATGATTTGAATGAAGATTTTTTTTCTCAATTGGACTTTCAAACAAAGAAAGAATTAATATAGACTGGGAGACCACCACTGGACTTACGAGGTTAGTCCGGCTGCGGGGGAGGAGTTTGTTAATCTGTGTTTTATGTTGAACATTGACAGATACCGGCAAAGTAGTGCTTTTCCGAAAAACACTGATTCAAACACTGCTCAAGAGTTCTGCAACTTGTTTAAATTATTGTTTATGTTCCTCGCGTCTCTCTCTCTCTCCTCGCGTCTCTCTCTCCTCGCGTCTCCGTCTCTCTCTGCTCCTCGCGTCTCCGTCTCTCTGCTCCTCTCTGTCTCTCTCTGCTCCTCTCTCCTCGCGTCTCTCTCTCCTCGCGTCTCTCGCACCTGCGCTTCTTAAAGATGTTGTTTGATGCGGAGCAGAGTCAGCAGCTAGATTTGTTGTGAGATTATTAAAAGAAGCTGGTTTTCTTATCTTTACAGTATATAAAGTTTGTGGATGTCATTGCATTGGTGATTAAATGCTATTTTATTTGAATAATGATTGTAAATCTGACTTTTAAAGTCAGTGCCTCCCCAATCACAAACCTCACCGCACGTCCCTGCGGTGGGGATACAAACAGATATATATTTGTTTGTGATAGAATATACAGGGTTATACTCAATATACACGTAACTTCTAATCTCATTCCTTCTGTTTTGTAACTTGTGATGCAGAGGGGGAAATGTCCTGGAATTTCCCCACTATGGGATTTCTTAATCTTAATCCTAATTGATAAAGAACAACACTTTGGCAATACACAGCTCTGCCTTAAAGTAACCCGTGAGATACAACAGCGCGTGGCTTGTGTTTCAGCCGCTCTCTCCCTCCCTCTCCCCTCTCTCTCCTCTCTCCCTTCTCTCTCTCTCTCTCTCTCCTCATTCTCTCTCTCTCCTCATCCTCTCTCCTCAGTGCTTTGTGGTCTCGCCACTTATGTACATGACTGTGTACAGTTAGGCAGAATAAAAAGCGCGTCTGCTCCGGGCTGTGTCTGACATTCTGGATCCTCTGAATTCGATCCATCTGAGAGACCGAGAAGACGCGGCTCCAAACTGAACTCTCATGTGCGTAAAGCCTGCGTCCTGCGCGTGCCCTGGGGACTACAATGAGGAGAAAGATGCGGATATTTACTGTCTGTCTTCCAAAGTATGTGACCCCAGTGTTGAGCCGCTGGAGCGTGTGGGACGCAGTGTTTCTATGTTTAGTCTTGTGTTTAGCGCGGGCGGACGATGACTGCCCAGTGTCGTGCGTCTGCGCCAGAGAGTCTGGCACCGTGACGTGTCGGGACGGAGAGGACTCTGGAGACCTGCTTGTGGACCTCCCGCAGTGGACGTCCAATTTAATAGTTCAGGGTAAAAACATGTCAACTCTGCGCCGTGCTGCGTTCACGGACAACTCAACAGACTTGGACATAACTACTTTGTGTCTGTCCTACAACGGGATACAAACTATTGAACCGTATGCCTTCCTCGGGCTGCCCAGTCTACACCTTCTAGACTTAAGCCATAACCGACTGGAGTCCATTTCGACTCGAGCTTTCTTCGGGTTGTCACAGTTGCGATCGCTGTATCTGAACTATTCCGTTTTACCGGAGGCAGTGATGCAACTTTCCATCGCGCTTAGTTCACAAACTTTATCAAACCTCCACAGACTGGACTTAGCGGGGAACAGACTGAAACACATCCCCCTGCAGAGGTTGGACAGCTTCGACCTACACGTGTTAGTCCTGGTTAATAACTCCTTTGAAAGCATCACGAAGGAGAATGTGTCGGATTTGTATCAACAGCGACACATGCGCCTCTATCTCTCCCTCAACCCGTTCCGCTGTAATTGTGACCTAGAGGCCTTTTACTACTGGCTGAAGAACGCGTCCCAGTGTCCAGATGTGGGGCGGCTGGAGTGCGCGGAGCCCGAGAGCAAGAGAGGCGCACTGGTGGAGCAACTGCGCGCAGAGGACGTGGATTGTAACTTGGAGAACCTGGAGGCGGTGTCCTACGTGTTTCTGGGCCTCGTGATGGCTCTCATTGGGGTTGTTTTCCTGATGGTGCTGTATCTGAACAGAGGAGGCATCAAGAAGTGGCTGAACAACATCCGAGAGGCGTGCAGGGACCAGATGGAGATCTACCACTACCGCTACGAGCAGGACTCAGACCCGAGACTGGCGAATGTGGCCGTGTGAGAGCAGCGCTGTGGCCAACCGGGAGAGGGCAATACGAGCAAAGACTATGGCCTCACTGTCCTGAAGAACAGTTAGTGAATACAGTAAGGTCTGTGCTATACCTGCTACACTGGCACGAGACGGTCAGCAAGGCCAACTCAGAGTGACAAAAGTATTATGTAAATATAGCAATCTATTAAGCAGATATTGAATGAGCTATAACATTTTATTTGGGATTTTCAGCAGATCTGAACTGATAAGAATAGGCTACTAATGGCACAGTTACATAGTCCTTATGCCACGCATGGTGCCAGTTTTTTTTTTTTTTTTTTATGACACATGCAAAATGAGGTCACATTAAACCAGGAGAATGTGCCTTCTTCCATTGTGCTGGTGTCTGCTGCGTGTGGAGGTGATATATCCTCTGCAGAAGCCAGAAGAAGGAACTGTATTTTTGTCAAACAGAATGCAAGATATGTTTTTTTTTTCATTCATCGTTCATTACAAATAAAAGCAACTTTAAATGTAAAATGACATGCTCATCCATGTGCAAAATTCAATGTAATATATTTTTGTATAGCCCTAAATCACAATAGAAGTTGTCTCAGAGGCCTTGATTCGGCAACAACAGATCAGAGAATCAAATGGTGAAGAAATTCAATAACAGCAAGCACACAGGAGCCATTGGTCCGTAGTGGGATGACCAATGTGCATAAAGGTTTGTTAATGTCCATGAATGTCCTTAAATGTCCTGGATCATCTCCACTGTCCTTAGACACTCCTGCATCTACAACAACAATATAAAAACCCAATGGGAAAAAACCTAAACTTTGGGGAGGCCCGTGTTGAGAGAAGGATCCGCTCCCCCGGATGGTCAGGCTGTAGATCCAAGACTCAGGCAGTAGAATGAGGCAGGACTGAGGTGGCTTCAGGGAGTAAGGGGAGTGCTGCCCACAAGTGGGAAAGGGACAACGGGTGAATAGCAATGAATCAGACTGTCCCATTCTAAACACACAGTTCGTGAGGATTAAAGAACAGAGGATTCAAATACATCCAGATTGTGTTTCCTCAGGTTTGTATCTTGGTTGAACTGTGTGCAGTGTCTGCAGGTCAGAAGTCAGATTCATGATGAGACAAATGAGAACACCTCTGACTGATGTCTGCTCTGCCACTTGAATCTGGAAACACCAACTAACACCAGTGACACTGAAGACCTTTTCTCCACTTCTCTTGTTACAACTGATCCTGCAACTTGATGAGAAAATTGAGGTAACAGCCGTTTATGTAAAGTTATTGAATATGCTGAGAATGACCAGGCCTAGTTGTGTCCAATAACACGTGTGTGATAATGATGCATCGGTTTTTTACAGCCCTTTTGTGGACGCTCAAAGACGCTTTATATGTCATTATTATTTAACTTATTCATAAACTACTACTGTAGCCACAGCTGCCCTGGGACACACTAACAGAAGTGAGGCATCCATGTGCTTTAATCACCACCAACCATTCAGACCTTTTCTAGACAAAGTGGGTGAAAAGTCTTACCTAAGGACACAATGACAGTTTAGCACTTTACAGCTGCTGTAGCCCCACTGTGGCACCTGGTGTTCCCGAAGGTCTCCCATCACAGTATTAACCAGGCCCTTCCCTGCTTTGTTGAACCCTATCTAGACCTAGGGGGGGTTAAAAATACCTGCAATAACTTTCACATGGTATAGTATCTTCAAAACTGTTGCTCGGACTACGAAACGTTGTGAATTTTCCTAAAATTTAGTTGGCTTAAATTTTTTACCAAAAGCTTATAAGTCCAGTTTTTTTTTTCTGTATCCATGACAACGATGTTCTGACTAACTAAACTGATCCTTACTGACCTTATTCCATTATATTAACATAACTTTACTTAGGTAATGTCAGCTTTGTTATTTGGCAATTTAGCATTTACGCTAATTAACATTTATGCTAATTTGATTATGTCAATATATCCATGTCAATAATGTGATATTTATGTATTTGTGATGATTACATGTTTGAACATCATGCCCTGCAAATCTAGAAGTATACCATGTGCTAAGAACTTACAGTTTCCTGGGAAGTTATGAAAGATTTAAGTTACTTTACCAAATCCATGATGCATTTTATGATGCAATGTGGATATTTCTATAAGTCTAAGATATGCATAACCTAATTCTGCAGGAAAAAGTATCATTATGACATTTTGGGCAATTATAACAGATTATGACGTGATTCAAAATAAGTAATTGTACAGTTTTGCATGTAGATCGTCATCTGAAAACATGGTCATATAGGTTATACCCTCCCCCCGGGCCAAAAGAGCCCTAAAAGGTCCAGGTCCAGATTGGGTGAAGAGGTCTGACGGGGATCCGTCTTTCAGAACTGCAGTGCAGCTATGACCACAGTCTGATACTACGTACTGTATGTAATTTGATTTTCACATTGAATAATAAAGCATGGGACTTTTCTCTAACAGAACAAGCAGGATGAAGACAGGAGGAAAGCAGCAAAGCTAACCATTAGGAGAGGTTTGAGTAAAGTGGTGCAGTGTTAGCAGTGTTCCTGTGTCAGGGCGTTTTAGCGTCAGTGTCAGAGACGTCGCCTTCATGCTGCGTGTGTGCCGTAAACACTTACTGAGTGTTTTTTGCAGCTGCAGGAATAAAAGCAGATACGATACGGTGGCTGAGTGGATAGCACTCAAGCCTCTCAACAAGTAGGTCCTGGGTTCAAATCTCGGTCGGAAAGGGGTCTTTCTGAGTGGAGTTTGCATGTTCTCCCCGTGCTTGCGTAGGTTTCCTCCGGTTTCCCCTACCACTAAAAACATGCATGCTAGGTTAAATTCTCCAGCTCCGGTAGTCCTGACCAAGCTGAGCATCAACATCTAGAGATGGGTTCCCGGGCGTATCCACTGTTACTATGGCAACCACTGCTCCTGACGTAAGACTTAGCGGCATCAGGATGGGTCAAATGCAGAGGATGAATTACTCTACGGGGATTAATAAAGTGCACCTTTATTAATCATAGAGGATGATTGTGATTGGAAGAATGCAACGATAACACATTTAAAAAAACATATTGGCACCAATGTCCATAAATATTGATTAATGTTGAGTTTACAATCCATCTAACCTCTTTACATTACATGAGTGCACTGTTACCCTCTGACACCTCTTTAGGGCAGTTTTTCCCAGATATAAGAGGGAAAAGAGAGGGCTGCCCTCTCTAAACCAATCAGATCCCAGCCCAAAATGTCAATCAAGTGAGTGACTCACAAGGCTCTTTCTTTTTCATATGGACAAGATCAGATTCAGACTCATTTATTTGCCATTTTCAGTAAAACCGCATTGGTATGAAGACAGCTGCTCTGGTCCAACTTTGTTCACAACATTTCATTTTCACAAGTCTCTGTTTATATGTATTTATTTGGATCCCCATCAGCTGCTCTTCCTTCTTCTAGCCTAGAAGAAGGAGGTCCTTTATTCGTCCCACAATGGGGAAATTTCAGTTTGATGCATACACATATACTGTACACACACACACACACACTCATACACATCAAGGCAAGCAGCGACTTCCGCGCTCCCTATAGGCAAAGTGGATTTATTGTCTTGCCCAAGGACACAACAACAGCAGACATCAGTGGGGTCGGTGGAGAAGGTCTCGTGGTGGGCTCGAACCCTCAACCGTTGGCTCCAAGGCCAATGCTCCACCAACTTCTCTTTTTGTCTTTTCACCATCAAAGGAAAGACTACATCAAATCCATCACGTTGTATGAATAGAATTTCTTTAGTCAATCACATTTTAAGTTTAAGATTAACCCTCCGGGCGCCAAAGAATTGTGCCTAAATCCACAACACTTTCTATACAGCAACTTGACTTCCCACAAACGCGTTCCGTCATTTTTCTTACATTCGTATCTGCTATGTATTTCTGTTATGGATTTAAGAAGCTCACAATCTCTGACTATTTCTTATGTATTTGTTTCTTGAGTATTGTCTATTTCACAATAAAAAAAAAGACAAAAAACAACGTAAGCGCCCGCATCAGCTTCAAAACGCGCAGAAGCTCCATCCAAGCAGCAGCTTCATTCACGCCACAACCCTCCTCCTCCCCATCTCCACCTCATTCCAAGCAAGCTCCTTCATCCTTCTCCTAAACTACCACCACCATAGTCCAGGCCCCGGGGGATTTAATCTCATAATCTCTTTCCCCTTCTGCAATCGTACGGTGCTCTGCGGGGGTACAGCAACAATAAATGTAATCTTGAAAATGCTGTCCTCAGTGTCTCATGTCTAATTTAGTGTTCGATATTTTGCTAAACAACATACAATTCTAATACCCATGTTTTGTCTGTTCAAGTCTTTCCAGATTGAATTTAGATCCAACCTTCAAGTAGATATAGTGACTTATAAAGTGATCCACCAAATGAAAGGGTTATTAAAGAAACAGCGTGAAGTGGACTCTACGGTTGGTGTGTTATTAGCGCCACATGACCAGGTCTGTGCAAGTGACCTAAGAGCCATTGAGTGAGCTGTCATGTTATATATGTCGACTGCAGTAATATACATTTAATCATGAGGACAGCAGGGAGCAGCAGAGAAACACGGGCGGCTAATGCACTGTGGCGTGCTATATTTAAACACAAAACAATGGTTGAGATCAGCACCGGGCCTGATGGACAGCAGAGCCACACACCGCTCTGCTTATGTTGCATTCATGTTATAACATGTTAGGTCAAATAATCCACTGCTCAGGCTCTGGGAGAGAACTGCAGGAAGTGAAGCTCGGGGAGAAGGCCTTTGTACACTGGAAAAGGTGAAATCGTAGTAAGATTTATTCACTAAAAATAACTGAAATTATGCCTGTTTTTTAATTGGAATTTTTTTTGATTGAATGTAGTTTGTCATTATTTTACTGGTTTTAAGATACTTCATAATCTTATTAGAAAAAAAAGTATTTTTAAGTTTTTAAGCTTGTTTTAAGTATTTTATTCTTTATTTCTAGACAAC